GTAAAAACTCGGAAATAAGCACTGAATTCTGAGTTTTAACAATTTTGTGAACTCACGACCAAAAAAGTGCGCTTTTACAGCATTGCAGCGCTTTCTTTAAAAATTCGTAAGTTTCCAGCTGGAGCCGGTATGGACGTGAAATTTTCACAGTCTGAAGAAAATACTTAAACGTAAAAACTCGGAAATAAGCACTGAATTCTGAGTTTTAACAATTTTGTGATCTCACGACCAAAAAAGTGCGTTTTTACAGCATTGCAGCGCTTTCTTTAAAAATTCGTAAGTTTCCAGCTGGAGCCGGTATGGACGTGAAATTTTCACAGTCTGAAGAAAATACTTAAACGTAAAAACTCGGAAATAAGCACTGAATTCTGAGTTTTAACATTTTTGTGATCTCACGACCAAAAAAGTGCGCTTTTACAGCATTGCAGCGCTTTCTTTAAAAATTCGTAAGTTTCAAGCTGGAGCCGGTATGGACGTGAAGTTTTCACAGTCTGAAGAAACCGATTGAGTCTAAATAGTCGAAAAGTTTCATTCCCTCAGGACCGAAATCTGATTTTCGGTCAATTTGTAAATTCAGCGCTCGTAGTGGTCATTTTTGGGCAACTGCACTGTCTTATTTAAAAATTCGTAACTTTCCTTCTGGACTGAGCACCGACTTGCAATTTTCACAGATTGGCTTCAATAGTTCAATCTATAAACCTACCAAATTTAGTTCAAATCGCACTGCAGCCTGATTTTTAACAAATTTGAGAGTCAAGACCAAAATTTCTCGCTTCTCATTTAAGCACATTTGTGCGCAATTTTCCCTCGAGGGCCAGAAGCGACTGGAAATCGCAAGCATTGCACTGGAAAATTACCGTGCAAGTTTAGCAAGGAAATCACAGTAACGAATCGACCGACTTAGATCAGAGAGGCGACTAGTAGCAAACCCTCCAAAGTAACAGCACCCATCTTCAGGTCGTCGCACGAAATCGGCCGCGGATATCCAGGCCGAGGTCTCTACCTGGAGCTAGAAAGGGGCGCGGCCGGCGACTTTTCGCCTCCATCAGACAACGTGATCTTCGACAACCAGTGCTACGCGACCACGCCCAGTTCCAGCAACGGCAACTCAGACATGGAGCAGGCGGCGCAGCACTATGGAAGGCGCCGCCTCCACCGCCAGGTAGCAACACTTGCACAGCGCCCGGAAACTCGACAGCCAATTCAATGGAAAGTTGTTGCAGAACTCCAGCGTCAACTCCACTCCCGGCTCGCCCACCAGTCGCCTACTCCTGGAGTATGAGATGCATCTGCGCAACACCCTGGCCAAAGGCATGGACGCGGAGAGCTACAGCTTACACACCTTTGAGGCGCTGCTCACGCAAAGCATGGAAAATCTTGGTAGGGCTTGGTTGGTCTCCTCTTGGAGCAGTTTTGATGAGGCTACCGCGTTTTCAGAGTTCGCCGAGAGTCTCCCCGGGTCCAACACCCGAAGCCCATATCACGCGAGGAAAAGTAACTGGTAGGGTAAATATTGCAAGAATTGTTAACAAAGCGGGCGTTTTCCAGGACCCACATCCAGCGCTTCCATGAGATCCTCCACGCTTCCCTACAACCAGCGCATGGGCGTTCGCGAGCGCGAGAGAGACGGCTACTACAGCGACCGCAACGAATTGTCCCGCGAGCGAGAAAAGGAGCGCGAACGCGGCTACTTGAGCGACCACAACGCCAAGTGAGAGGCTCCTCAGCGCTCTGCCTGAACTGCGCAGCTGCACTTTTGGGTTTAGTTCTAGGTGCGCATCCTGCATCGGCGAGTCGAGCAGGGCGCAGTGGTTCCGACACTCAGACGGCTGGCGATCCGGCAGCTCCGCCTACGGCTCAGCGCAGGGCGGCGTCCTCCCAGGGCACAGGAGAGCCCCCTGGGACTCGCTTCCCTCACTGCG